CGATGGCATCGCGAGTTGATTATAATCTTGGTAAGTTAATTAATGTCTAATTAGTAATTTATATAACATTTCAAGCCTGAAGAAAGACCTGCGATAGGCAGATTTAGCTCTTGCATAATGCCTGTTTAATAGAAGCTAGCCATATTGCTCAACTTAATAACTGCATGTAAAATTGGTCGCATGTAACTTGATGCTCAGGATTGACTGAACTTCTTTTTTTCACGCCTACCTATTAAATTGTCTCAGCCAACACTGGGATTAAGTTCGGGATCTCCTAATGAGTGAGCCAGTGGCTAACTGACTTGTTGATTTTTAATGTAAAATATATTTATCGCCATTTATACATTCATTCAATTATTAATCCACATGGTTAGGTATATCTAATCTAAAGGGAAATAACTGCGACATTTTATTCGGGCCTACTCTTCTTCGATTGGCAACTGTTTTATAACAGTCACAAACTGATTAGTCATGTTGTGTGGTTTCTCCTCGTCCACGATGCAGGGTTGAAGACGTGACAAGGTCAGCTGGCTAGTTCTCCGGATGGAACGAAAAACCGAGGTCCCGTGCTTACATTGTCGTAGCGCCGCTGCCTGGGCACAATTTCACTCATAGCAGACTTAAACGCCATTTCATTTCATTCCTTTCTCTTCTTAACTGATCTTTTTAGAAGACAATCCGCTAGAGTGATTCCCAACCACCCAGCGGTTTATTATTAGTATATACATGATTGTGTCTCTGAGTTGGCGTTATGGTTCTTATTTATTGAGACATTTTTTAGTACGGAGTTGAATACAGTATTATAACAAGATCAAATTTCTTGCAACTAAAACAAGAGCATCGCTACCGCTGAAACATACGTCCACATTCCTTCTTTGATTGGTGCTTTTTAAAATGAAGAGAATGAAATATGAAATTGCTGTATCTACGGCAAGATGACAAGAGGCAAAGAAGGCTAGACGTTTGGTTTGTTTTGCCAAATTTACAAACTAAATATTACAAAAGTGGGTGTGACACCACCCCTGTAGGCCGGGGCAAACACCAAAATAAATAGTTGCTGTCCTTACGATATAAGGAATAAATATGCAAAGTTCCATGATGAGCCATTCAGAATTCCAGCCAGTAGACAAAAACTACAAAAATTGACGATGGTTCTGCTCCTGGGGTCGGGACATGCACCTTAGGCTATAAACAACACATATGACAAGTTCCAAGACAACCAATTAAGAAATGTGACCTGTAGGCAACTCACCGAAAAAGGGAGTGGCTCTGCCCCTTGGGGTCGGGCATGCACCCAAAAAATTAGAGGTCACCCCTAGGGTATAAGTATGAACAATTTTCCATTTAGAATTGTGGCATGTAGGCGAAAGAAAGGGACGCAAAGAGAAAATGGGGGCAAGGCTCTGCACCAGACTAGGGGTGCCATTTAGGGTATAAGGAATAAGTATGAAATGCTTCCAAACTTTCCGTCAAGAAATGCGACCTGTAGGCGAAAAACAGATGCATGCATCAAAAATAATAGCGGTCATCCTTTCGAGGCCATCCAATAAGAATTGCGTCTAGTAGACGATAAAAAGTGGGCGTGACTCTGTCCCTGGGGATCGAGCATACACCAAGGCCAATAGGTGTCATCCTTGGGATATAATGAATAAGTATACAAAGTTTTAAGACGATCTGTTCATAATTGCTGTCTTTAGGCGACAAACAAACAAATACTTTTTCATGTTTCAATAATATAATAGTATAGCATGATCATATCATATTGTAGCCTGAATAGAAACCGTTACATGGAATCATAAAAAAATTATTTTAAGATTTATCTTTAATCTCATTACCAATATCCATTTTATATATTTTTTTATTATGTTCAATTTTTTTTATTCAAATAGCCTTTTAAACACTGAACAACCGCTTTCAGCCCTCGTTAAAGTCCCTAGAACTAAAGGTCTTATTGGTTCTATCAATTTTGGTTCTGACAGCTGTTCTATGTTTTTCTTCCATGATTTTGCTAATGATGTCATTGCTCAATAATAGTCCAAAAATGTACCTTTTAATTGTGTAAATTTCTTTGAATTCTTGGTATTTATAAAACTTTTCTTCTGTGGATTATAGTTAATTATAGTTATACCATAATGGTTGCACACTGATTGCAGTATTTTCTTCATTCAGCAAATCTTTCAGAATGGTTCATCTGTTGATTAAGCCAATTATGTCATATATTTGGAGCCTACTTTAAGGATATCTTGGATACTTCCAAAGTATCTATGTAATATGCCTGGCCAAGCCAATCTTTACTGCTGATCAGGTTTTGAACCAGGTACCGGCCATTTTGGAATTATAACACCGACATGCAAAATTCACGCGCAAGAACAATCATGTCAAGTTTCGTATAAGATTACCAAGATTATGAAACCAAGCTCCGGTTTCACAAAACATTATCAGACTTATGTTAAGAATTTATCCAAAATATAGCCCTTTACAAAACATTGCTGTTTTAATATATCAATTAAATCAATACGAAACTATATTCAAAGTTTTGTGTTTCGGGATCAAAGATGTAACTCAAACAATAATTGGAAGTTGAGTAAATTTTTAACTTAAGTCTGAGAATGCTTTGTGAAACCGAGGCCTGGTTCTGGTTCAAAGGATATAAATGAAATAACTGTGAAAGACATATTGGGGAAGACGGATTCAGCGTACGCAATGATAAATTAAAAAAAAAATCGGTATTTTGGTGTAAACTATTTGAGAAAGACATCTTAATGATGGCAAATACCACCCTGTTATCGGCTGTTATATCGACCTTATACAACCCATTTTTGACATATAATGATCCCATCCTCTTGATACACTGGTTAACAAGTACAGAAAAACGATGCAATGAAAACCTACAAGTCTGTAATTACTTCCTGTTTTCTTTTGATATTTCCTATGGTTTTCAATTACTTTATGTTATCTGAACTTAAGAACTGAAAATGTTTTTTTTTTTAAAATGCTATTACACTCCCGGCTTCTCTAAACATATCACACAATACTTCGCCTTCTTAACTTGAAGAAATGAAATAAAATTGGTTAATAGAATTCGTTAAGCATGGTATCGTTAAAGGGGAAATCCCGGTTCATACTTGGCCAGAGTCACGGCGGATCAGTGAATAAGGTGCGGGATCCTCAAATTAGGGAGAAATGGGGTTTAACGTCCGTCCAATCGACACCTCTACGATCACGCGAAATATTGAAAGGAAATTAAACGGTATGTTAGTCCCGAAATGACATAGTTTGTGTTGAGTGGACGTTAAACCCAATTTCTATCGCGCTCTCTATCTGATATCGATCCCTTCCCCACTTGTGTGTGACAAGGAGTAGGGTTCCCTGTCCGACCGCGTGGGGTTTCTCTGGGTCCCCTGGTTTCGCCCCACCGCTAAAGACCCCCACGCTCAAGCGAAATATTGAAAGGAAATTGAACGTATGTTAGTTCCGAAATGACCTACTTTGTGTTGAATGGACGTTAAACCCCATTTCTATCGCGCTTTCTTTCTCGTAGTTTTCTTGGAACTTGTTACACTTTTTATTCACTGGTATAGAGCTAGGATTTCTCCTTTAAGATCATATTGATGACTTCTTGACATCGGACTATAAGTTGATATAAACATGTTGAACAAATTACAGATGTTATAATATAACTGTTTACTAATGAGAACGATGGGATTGAGTGTACACAGACGGGTCTTTTGATGTATTAGTTATTTACGGGAAAATGGGAATGCGACAGTGTAGTAACAATGTTGCTGTCCGGGCCCTTTTATTTCACCATACATATAAAATCTGATTTCCCAAAGGAGTAGTTCGAGTTCAGAAGAAATGTCGAGATTGGTAGAGGCTGCAGCGGGTGAAGGGTCGGGGATAGTGTCTCTCGACCAACAAGTCCTGGTTTCCAATCCCTGCCTAGGCCAGGGAGATTCTTCGGGATTTTTATTCTTGGTTTCAATATGTCGTGATTGGCTACTGTATGGCTGACAAGAGAATTACTTCGGCGTAAGGGCCGTTTCACGGACAAAATCTTATAACGATAGTATACCAAATCTTCACTTTCAAGGTGCACCCCCGAAAGTGATTGACCAACCACCCACATAACGTACTTATACGATGCAGTGGAAATCAGTATATTTGGTTTGAAGAAGATGTCAAATTTGCACCTTAAAGCGATAGTTGCATATTTTTTTTAAAGAAAATCAATCAAAACATAATGATTTCTGTATCTAATAGGTTGTCAAACACTGTAATGATTTCTGTATCTAATAGGTTGTCAAACACTATAATGATTTCTGTATCTAATAGGTTGTCAAACACTATAATGCAATCATATGAATCATTCTAACACTTAATATAATGATAACACTGGACATACTAGCAAAAATACCTACAACGTTTTCTATACGACTCATGGTATTGGCAAAGCTCAACGTTAATGTTTCAACTTGAAAATGATATATTTGCCAATTTATCAACTGGCACTAGTGAATTATAGGATTATTCCTTTACAACGTAGGGCTGTGTATAGATTCCATGTATTTAAAGTCTTATCTTAACATATTTTAAACATATGATTTTTAAAAATGCAATTATCGCTTTAAATAAACTATAAACTATAAACATACTTATGGAAAACAGCTACTGATTTATTTAGCTTGAAAACGTTGAGAGAATACTCTTCGAAACATCGTCTAAATACACCAGTAGCTGTTTTCCATAAGTATATGTTTATAGTTTATTTATCTGCCAAGTTATTAAATGCCACTTAAATAATATTATCGCTTTAAAGTAACCATTATTGGGCTGATAAACGTCACCACCACCAAGAAACATTAATATTCAATTTGGTTGTCATCTGTCGAGTAGGACGGACGACCAAGTCGAAAAAGGTTAGGAACGGACTGACGAAAAACGTTCATGAAGTGTGCCTTTTGTTGGCCCACTGGGCTAAAAAGTAAACAAGATATGTTTTAAGCTTTTATTTATTTTAAATATACATTTAATGCCGTGCAAACAGGGAAACGGGGGTAGACGTGTGACATTTAATGTCGTAACAAACGGATAGACCATATTACTTTAAAGGTAAACAAACGGATAGACCATATTATTATTATTATTATTATACATGTACACAAAGCAAGTTTATTTCAATACATTCAGATTAATCAAGCATTAATGTTGGTGCATGTAGGTGTCACTGTAACCACCAAAACATCAAATCCCTATATTGGTTTAATTTGGTCTACATTGACGTGCATGTAAAAGAACCCTTAACAGTTGGAATCCGAATAAAGCGTAGGCCTTATAGTGACGTGTTCCGGTCCTAATTTCCCCCATAACACACTGTATGGCGTATGTCTATCTTCATTATCCCAGTCGGTGCAGACAAGTAAAAAGTTAAACCCCATTTCACTTCGTGTTTTAAAAACGAAAGCAGAATATTTAACAATAGCTTTAATAATTTCAACAATTATAATTATTTGTTTTACTGTTCTATGATCTAAATTGATAGTTCATGTTTCCAACTGGGTGGGGATATATTTTTAACACTGCTCTTTCGGTGTGTATATGCGTTGATCGGTGTTTAAACCCCAAAGAAGGAAAGAATCTTTAAACACCGATTTGTCCTGAACTACGATAATTCAACACTAACAAACGAGGCTAAGCTATCCATCGTAGATACCATACAAACATGGACGCAGTGTATAAATGTAAATCGACATCGTGGAGATTCCTAGTACCATGCGTATATCCAGTGAATTTGGGGAACGGATTTTGAAATGTTACTGGTATGGTGGGGCACTTTTGGGCAAAAATCTACATTGGAGAGTTTTTATAATTTTGTAATGTGGGAATACACCTAAACCACAAAACTTAACACATTTAATGAGTTTTTTTTCCATATTTCTGCTGGAAGTTGGTGGAAATTTCAAATGCAATACTAAAGAATGTAAGTCTAGATTTCCTTGAAACAGAGAGGGAACGGGAATCCCCCTCTCAAAAAGGGAAACGTCATTACCATGCATTCTCGTAGCACTTAGACCACTGCGTGTATCTAAACTATTGATTTAACAGCAACAAGATAACACCAACATCAATAATATGAGGTCGTCAACTCTGTGGAATATGAAGATACAATGTCCAATAACACACATTGAAAAGAATAAAAGTCGACGGAAAAATAATTCGCGCCATTAAGTCAATGTCACTGACAGAGTTACCCACTCCTGGCTTTACACTATTACCACGATGCAACCGGAACTCAGAATTACCAGTCAAGCATCGCCACAACATTTGATAACACCCAATCTTCTTGTAACCTTGGTGTTCTAGATCCACAACATGGGCATTGTTCAAAATTAATGTTTCACGCTCTCGTTCATGTTCTTGCTCAGAGATGATGATTTTCCTTGGCGGTGGAAACCCAGTCAACTGCAAGAATTAAAGAATAAAGTTATATTACATCCTGATTAACACTAGTTGAACTGAATGATGGGTAATATCAGCCATAGTTATGGACGCTGCGGCTGTCTGTTAGTAAGGCTCTGACTCGGTAACCATGGGATTCGTGGTTTCCACGTGTCAATTGTAAATGACAACGTCTAGTCGTTCGGTTGGGACGTAAAACCTTCAAGTGCACACAAAAGAACCATTGATAGTTGGAATTCGATGAAAGGGTAGGTCGTAGTGCCCCCGCCCCCTCCCCTGCCCAGCCACACTGATGTTCTCACACTGTTGGTTCTACCTACCTCGTCCTCCTCCTCGTCACCACCTTCTATTGGCATGACTTTAGTAAAATAGTTGACAGCAGCATATTGGATGAGAGCCGCCATATCATACACAAGGCACACGTTAAGAAACACGTCTATAGCCGTGGCGTATGGTACCCTTGGCAGACCTTCCCTTACTGTCATTCCTATCTGGGCTGTACTCAATATGGTGGTCACACCTGAAAAAAAAATATATATTTATAAATTTATCATGCGCATATTTTCCTTAGTCGGGGCGCTTAGGTGAACAATCACTCACATTTTGACAAAAGCATACAGGTAATTTTTGATGTCCTCTTTCGAATAAATGATGGACACGCGTGATCTGACCGCATTTCCGGTCGTCATTTTGAATACAAAATGAACGTCTCTGAAATAATGGGATTTTGTCTAATTCAACCTTACGATATGATAGAAGATATGTCTAAGCGTTGAAATCTATGATTTAACAACCACTGGGTTCGTCAAAAGCATTTTCATTACATAATTTGCAAGTATAGATACCGACAACCTACAATTTACTTTTGGGGCCTGTGCGATGAAAATTCTTGTAAATGTCAACTTCAACTATGCATTTTTACCCATGGAGCCTTTTTTGTTATATCACTCCGTACTTTCGAAGAATTAAAATCGAAAATGAAACTTTGTGGGACCGAATATCAGTCTAAAATTCAATCAACGGAATATTTAAGGAATTTTTTCCATATTTTCGTTTTTGTTTTTATTTCCTAAAGTTTTCTAAAACCCTTCGAAATGTCTGAACAATGTAGATTTTTTTATTAATCGTGACAATGATACTTGGCACTCCAGATTACAAACTGTTAATTGGCAGTTGTAGAACCAAATTTAAGCTATTTCTTGTCAAAATTTCGAACATATATAACTTCGCTCACAGTAAAGCCATTTGACTGAAATGTTCAATAAATTCATTTTCATTATCTAATATTGAATTAATATAGCACGAACATGTATAACTTCGCTCACAGTAAAGCCATTTGACTGAAATTTTCAATGTATTCATTTTCATTATCTAATATTGATATAATATAGCACGAACGGTCAGCTCTTTATCGAAATCATACATACTGCATCTTTAATACAGCTGAACTTCAACGATATTTAAGGAAGCAGCATATACTAATTCATTAATTCTAGTTTGAGGATTCGGGTTTCCTTTCAATAACGTCACCAACAAAAGTAAAATATTTATGTCTAAATTTTAAAAAAGAGAGAGATGGATTTAAATGTGTTTTAGGCCATTGGACTATCGTAGATCATCCATTTAAATTATTTGGTAAAGTAGAAAACTTTCGAGGTATTTTAGCAATAATAATAATGGTTTTGAAAAAAAAGGATATTCTCTTAAGCCAGATTAGTATATAGCACCGAATGGGTTAATCTGGAGAAGTAATGTGAAATAAGTAACCGGTTAATCCCATAGACTTTTAGTGAAATAAGTAACCATTATTTAAAGGGGCATTATGTAAGAAAAACCTGCGATAGGCAGATTAAGCTTTTACATAATGCCTGCTTAGCAGAACTTCATGTAAATATAGATGTTTATTTACTGACATGTAATCTCATTATTCTAAAGGAATTTTAATGACAATATTATGTTTGCGATTTAAAAAGTACCGAAAGAGTATTAATGCTCTCAATGGTTTTTAGGGAGTGGCAATGTGTCCATGCAAGCCAGAATAATGTGACGTCATTAATCAGCTTTTAAATCATATTAATTTAGAAATTTTAACAGTTTAAGCTTTAACACTTGCAATATTTATGAGTAATACTCCCACCCCCGCCCACGACAATTCGCTTAAGGGAAACAAAGGTTGGGTTGTTGTTTGGGGTTGCCAATTAATTTAAGAGATCGCTTTTCTAAGGTTCGATAAATGGCCACTATTTAAGATCATGTTAGGGTGTGGCTCAATGAGTAAAACACTGGCTCAGTCCAGAGATCCGGGTGACCGGAATTGACCAGCGTGGTTTCCCCTTTCAGCGGATGCAGGACGGGGTTTAGTCCTTCGGATGGAACGTACACAACAAAGAACCTTTGACAGTTTTAATTCGAAATCAGAGTATGCCGTAGCCTCGTTGTCTGGGTAAAAAATCCCTCATAGCACACTGTATGGCTTATGCTCTTCTTCATTAGCTCAGTCGGCGCAGAAGAGCTGGACATTAAACCCCATTTCATTTCATTTATGCAAATCAATAACAATATTTCTCTTTTAAGATTAGTGTATATCGGGTTGTTGATGTACAGTATGTATTTACAAATGTACCATCTTTGTGAGATTGTCTTTAAATGACAACTTTAGAAAAAAGATTAATATTGCAAATTGATCCATTAAGTTAATGTCTTTCTTGCAATATAGTTGCGCAATTGTCCGAGCTTTAATCGCGATAATGGTAATCTCAAAATCACTTAGTTACGCCGTTATCATCATGGGTTATTAACTGTCTTCAAATGAAATAAAATGGGGTTTAACGTCCTACCTCTCTGCACAAACAGGAGTATGAAAACGCGCGTTACACCATGCAATGTGGTATGAGAGATAATTCAAAAATCAATTATCAAGGATGCGTTTACGTGCACGCCAACATGAAAATGGAACTCGATTCGTCGTCCTATCCGAACGACTACACACAATCCCTTGCCATGTCCTCCGTCCTTCACTACCAGAGATACGCCAGACAGTGAGTAGTTAGCTCGTTATTCGTTATTGGTTAATATAGCGATAAACGAGCTACTCGTTTTTCGATATTGGTGAATAACGAAAAACAAGTTGCTTGGTTTTCGATACCGTTAAAAACTTTAATTTTTTTTATCGAGTTAATGTCAATCAATAATCCTTTAAATTAATAACGAGAGACATAAAGCGTGAGGTATTCCATGTCATTTCCCAGTTCACGTCTAAATGTAATGAATCTGTAAAAATTGTTTTTATTCAATTGTCGAGTGTTTAGAGACATAACAATAAACGGTAAATGTGGCTGACCGTGGAAGGCTAATATTTATGAGATCAATGTTTTACGATGGCGTTTGCATTGGGTTATCTGTGTAACTCAGCAACATCACATATAATAACAGGGTGTCGCGGTGGCTCAGTTAGTAAGAAAATGAAATGGGGTTTAACGTCCTAATGTTCTGCTCCGACTGGGCTAGTTATGAAGACGGGCATACGCCATACAGTTTGTTATGAGGGAATCTTTGCCCAGACAGCGGCACTAAGGCCTACTCTTATATTCCAACTGTCAAGGGATCTTTTACGTGCACGCCAATGTTTTCGTTCCATTTGAACGCTTATACGTTGTCCCTTGCCAGGCCCTCTGTCCCGAAAAATGACAAGGGGGAACCACGCGGGAAAATCCCGATGAACTTTCTCGGCCAATGCAAAGATCGAACACGCAACCTCCAGGTTAGCGTGCCAACGTCCTACCCGCTGAGCCACCGTGGCTCCATGAAACAACAGCAACAACATTCGCAGGGATCGAAGACACGACCCCCTGTTAGCGAGGCAACGTCTTACCCGCTGAAACAACAGCAACAACAATCGCAGGGATCGAAGACGCGACCTCCAGATTAGCGAGGCAACGTTTTTCCCGCTGAGCCACCGTGGCTCCATGAAACAACACCAGCAACAATCGTGTTGGTCACATGAAACTGTGCTATTATACATGAAGAAAAACAAACGGTCGTTCTCATTTTTTTCTCCCCCCGATTCTTCGTGTTTGATAATTTACTCTCCCGTTTTTTTATTGATCTATCTGAAAGTTAGGCTAACACTTCTACACGAAATTAGATCCATTTACACAAAAGAACATCCTTAAGTGAGCATCACGACTATTTTGAAACATGTCGAATACAAGATGTATTATCTAGCTAGCAATAGTTTTATAATCAATCTAGCACTAAGAATCCATTAACAGGAGGCCATTTGTTACATTTAGAAGATTTTTATTGTGTAAATATCTGTATTAAGCCGTGTCTGAAATAGAGCTCTTGCAGTTAATACCCAGTTTATCACGTGTTATGTGCTGCTAACATTTTAAACAATTCTTATTATTTATTTAGTTCCGAGGATATATTGTGTTTTCGACAACCAACATCGCCGGTTCAATTTTCTGCGTGGGCCCATTCCAACTTTTCAACTAGCGCCTCCAGCCTGACAAAGGAAGTTTGTTTAGTCGTAGGAGCCGCGGTGGCTCTGTAAGTAAGACGTTTGCTCGCTAACCTGGGGGCCCCGTGTTCGATCCTGGTGTTGCAAGAGAAAGTTCATCGAGATTTTCCGGGGCGTGGTTCCTCCTTGTCAGTTTTAAAGGTCAAAGGACTTGGCAATGAACAGGTTATAGTCAATCGGATGGGACGAAAAACCGAGGTCCCGTGTACACATTGGCTTGCACGTAAAAGATCCTTTGGCGGTTGGAATTCGATATAAGAGTAGTCTCTAGCGCCGCTGTCCAGATAAAATTGCTCTCCTAACACACTGTATGGATAATGCCGTCTTCATTATTCAAAGTCGGAGCAGATCAGTAGGGCGTTAAACCTCGTTTCATTTTGTGTAGTCGTTCCCATGCGAGGTCCATGGTGTAAAGATGAAGTGGAGTTTACTGTCTCGTCAACACAATTCTTCCTTCATTTTGCGACAAACCTTGAGGTTGTTCAAACATGGTTACGATTGCCGAAATGCCAATTAAGTATGGCCTATTCATTCGAATGGGAAGAAAAACTAACGTCTCCCGGTGTACATATGGGTGAAAAGTCGCTGCCCGGTCACAAATCTGCCGATGAGCACGTTGTATGGGATATGCCCTTCTTCATTAGTTCAGTTTGTGCAGGCATGTAGGACGTTAGAACCATCAGTAGGACGTTAAACCCCATTTCATTTCATTTCATTTACGTTAGAACCTATTTCATTTCATTTTCATTTAATACTGAGGGCGAGTGGAGTTGAGTGGAGGTGGGTGGGTGTGACGTCAAACTTTTCTTCACTGACTGGAGTAATGAAGACGGCCATACAGTGTTCGATGAGGGAAATGTTGCCCGGACAGCAGCACTATGGTCTACTCTTATTTCGAAATCCAACTAGCGAGGGTTCTCTTACGTGCGCGCCAATGTGTACACGGGACCTCGGTTTTTCGTTCCACCCGAACGACTAGAAACTGTTTCTTGTCAGACCCTTGGTCCTGCACCAATGACAAGATGGAACCACACCAACACCGGGAGTGAACACGAGACCTCCTTGGTAAGAGAGACATCATCTTACTCTGCGGCTCCCACAGGTGTGTGTAAATGACCACGAGATCATTATTAAATTTTCAACTTATCTTGTGTAGAACAGGCATTACCGTATCCAAGGAATTACCAATTTACATATTTACATATCACTTATCTCGCCCATTCCCAGAAGACCTTGTATCATGCATTCAAAATGTTACGGGTATTCATTTCCGGAAGAAATCAACGCGACCATGACTTCCTTCCAGATTTTTAAATTGGTAATTTTATCCCGCCATCTTAAATAAACAAATGAAGGTAGGATTTCTTTCCTTGGAACAAGCAATAAACGGCCTTTGTTTGTCCTCGGCTAATCTAATTTATATGCCCATTTAGTCGAAGCACTAGAGTCTGCTCTACGGAGACGATATTTAAATGATGAAGCCCCGTGGATGCATGTGATTTCGTATAGAGGAACAATTCTATTAAGTCAAGAATTCCCTCAAGTGGGAGCGTGCAGAAAAATATAATGTCTTTAATTTGAAACGAGGTTCTTCTTTTACATAGACTATGTACAAACATAGACGAGAAAATATTTGAAGGGGGGTCGATAGACGTTTCCCTAACTGTTCAATAAAAATCATTTTTTTAAAAAAAAAGAAAAAAAGTTTTACCATGGTTAACAAGCTGCCTTTTGTTCTACTTATTTATGGAAAACCTTATACATATAACTATTAAGAAAGCGGTCTGTCTTTCCATAATATCAGACAATGAAACATTATGAAAGTACCCGACGTACGTAAGACCCGAGAGAGAGAGAGAGTATAAACCTACGATGTGGGACAGGCGGCGAGCTCCTTGTCACGTACAAGTGTAGGACCAAAACCATGCCACTTGACTCCATGTCAGACCATGCGATCTAAAGCGCAAACGTTAGATCATTCGGTCACCAAACCCCCTGTAAGACAGACAAGGAAGCAAAAGCGTCGCTCGTGTTGTCAGTGCTAAAGCCCTTAAAGTCTCTTTGCGCTATTTCCATGAGCTAAATCTGCCTATTGCAGGTCTTTTTTGGGCCTTAAAGGAGCTAAATTGCTAATATCAGGGACCTACAAATTGACACAAATGGGTCGCAACGTATATAATAATGTAATATGAATGTAAATAAACTGATTTACATTCAATCGTTTCTGTTTTTACTCTAATTTCAAAGCCGTTAAGTTCGGCGAAATACGCCAGAAGTCTCAATCCATTGGCAATCTCTAGCGTCTGGTTATTCCAGTCTACACTGGTAGTATTTATTGCGCATGTTCTCCAGATAACAATATGAGGTCACCGATTGACATGGCTTGTGGAATATGTCTAACCTCGTTCTTCGAGTCGCTTGTTACAAATTGCGCTGAAACGCATTATGGTACACGATCGTAAAATGTTTATTTTGTCTTAAAATATTGGATATCAGAAACCTATCTTTTTCCGGTAAGATCACAACACCAATGTTGATTAAAATTGACAAATAATTCGTGTTTTCACTGTCGAAGGTTTTGGGTGATATTGAGTTAGAGACTTAGCTACTTTAAATGTTATATAAATTATTAATTTATTAACATGACAAGACCATAATTAATTCGCGATGTCTTTTGATGGGGCCGATTTTCAACAGATTTGAATCCGATCTTCGGTTCAACGGCGGTTGATGATTATCCGTAAAAATCGATAATAGAGACATTGTTTATTACGGTAACAAAGGTAACAATAAAAATCGAGGCTATAGTGTTATTGAAATGAGGATTTCTAGATTCAGAGTGAAGTAATTTGACTGAAATTATCAGGATATTCCCTATACATTATCTATTTTAACTATCATAGCGAGAACTGTCAGCTCTTTATGACGTAATCTTACATATTGACGCTTTAAGAAAATAAAATCAATGGTTGATAATCTACCGGTTGGGGTTTAATCGGATTGAATAAGAGACCCATCAAAAGATTATAGATAGCGCTATACAACTTCTTTTGGAAATTTACCATGTTTGTAAATACTAAACGAAATTGAACCATTTTTGTATTGATATTCTTTAGAGACATTCAACTTTCAAGATACTGCAAGGGAAGAGATTAACAAATCCTCAAATGACGTACATAGACCTTGGGCACTAATAATAACCCAACGGATATGCCTGGAAAAGGAATAATCGGAAGACGAAACCATTATAATTTCTTATGTGAGTTTCTCTTTGCCCAGCACAACCAAGGACAAGAGTTTTCCCGAACATAAATTATGTTTAATTACAGTGCAGTATAAAGCTACGAATAACCTCCCTTAGGTAACCGCGCTGGCAGATGGGAGCGCAGTTGTCGTCAACGTGCAGATGGGCGCGCAGTTGTCGTCATCTTACTGATGAGTCCGAGATGTCGGCAGTGTTACTTACCTAATAAAACTCTGGCAGGAGCTGCGTCTCGATTGATCCAGAATGAAATCCAGGATAAACTGACTATTAGATAACAGGGTAAAAAAGTCTGGAGGATAAAGAATCCCAAGTTCCGGTGTAAGTGTATGTGGACCTCTAAAACAGACTGGGGACCTGAAAAATAAATAAAAAATCTCCAGAAAATTGAAAGGTTTTGTTTTTATGGTGATTGCTGTTACCTTTGGGGGTATAAGATGTATTTCCATGTCAAGATATCCTTTATACGGACGTTAATTTGTCAAAGTCATGAGCATGCATGCAACGTCATTTGTTGTGGGGAGCACCATGGTTCGGTCGAAGATTCGACCTCGGCGTTGGCCGAGAACGATCTTCTGGATTTGCCAGTCTGGTGTCCCCTTGTGAGGGTTCAGGATGGAACGAATAACCATTGGTATACCGTTAAAGGACAATATTGGTGTCAGTCATTATTACATATGTGATAGAACTGGTTAAATACATTCCAAATATAATTTTAACACAGAGATCATTGCTACGGGAGATGTGAAACAAGCACGTGAAGAAACATGACAAACACGAGTTGTCCTTCTATATAACTGAATTGGCTGTCACTAGATAAGGGACACGAGAAATAGAAAAATCCCGTGCATTCCCCCGTTTTTATTCATTCTGTTCTTAATAAAAACATGGTAATGCACGGACTTTTTCTAATTTGTTCGTCATCTGTTATCTACTGACAGCCAATTCTTTTTTTGAATTGTCAGATATATTCTCATAGTCTCATATAACAACTTTTCATCTTCAACTGAATTATCAGTGAAATGAAATTCGATCGTTTGTCTGTTATCGCTCGTTACTTCAGTCAGTTATATAGAAGGACAACTCGTGCTTGTCATATTTGACGTCACTTCCCGCTTCTTCACGTGCTTGTTACACATCTCCCGTAGCAATGATCTCTGTGTTAAAATTATATTTGGGATGTATTTAACGAGCTCTATCACATATTTTATAATGACTGACACCAATATTGTCCTTTAAATATTCCCTGAGAGTTGGAAATCAATGTAAGAGTAGGTTGTAGCACACTGCATGGTACATGTTGGCCTCCATTAGCCATATTCGTGCAGAACTATAAGACAGTTCACGAAGACCTTTAGTTAAACTAAACCATCGTAATGTTATCTCATCTTCAGTGCTTTCTTATACTAAGGGAGCCGTAGTAGCTCAGCGAATAAGACGCACACTGTATGGCATATGGCCGTTATCATTAGCCCAGTCGGAGCACAATAGCAGGATGTTAAATCCCATTTCATTTACTTTCAGTGAATTCTGATACAGCTGATAAGTTACATTTTATCATTTATCGTCTGATATCTCCGTTAATGCTTCATTGCCATAGAAATATTTAGAAAGTTAAACTTCGGCGAACATTATCCGAATCAATTAAAAATCGTCAGTGATTTCTGTATATATTCACCCAATTTCCCGAAATATTAAATATATCCCAACCCTAGTTCACTAGGGTCTATAAGAAAGATAATGATCGATATGGATGAATGCTGGTATCCAAGAGAGAGAGAGAGAGAGAGGGAGAGAGAGAGAGATAGAGAGAGAGAGCCTACTCCTTGTCACGTACAAGCGGAGAATCTGCACCACGCCACTTGACTAAATGACAGAAATTATGATCAAACGCGCACGTGTTAACCATTCAGACCCCACCCCTTTTTACTTACCATGAGTGGTCTGATAGGTGGTATTGGCACTGTCAACCCAACCAACTTCATACGTAGCCATCGTCAATCCTTTCGGCATGTCAACATTAGGGGCATTTGGATTCCAATAATATATGATCTCATCTGTGGTATAGGCATCTAAAAATATACAAACAGAAAGGAAATGATTATATATGAGGGTGAATGGTGGGGAGGGTGACTACATGCAAAACCCTAGAATTTTATAAGCCATAAAAGGGTTTGTTACCACGAAAATAAAGTTGTCTTTTTAGGGAGGGAGTGTGAATGGCGAGTACATACAAAACCCCATAATTTCATAAGCCATAAAGGTTTTGTTACCACGAAAATAAGGGTGCATTTTTAGGGAGGGAAGGTGAATGGCGACTACTTATTTTTTTTTTTTTTTGGGGGGGGGGGGGGGGGGTGAATGGCGAGTACATACAAAATGGTTTTGCTACCACGAAAATAAGGTCTGTCAAAATGTTGTTATTTTTATAGCCATAAAGTAATTAATCGTAATTGATTACTTTTCATGTTAAGGGTCATGGTCATTGGTTACTTTTACCGTTGTGGGTAATAGTATTTAATTGCGTTTAATATTATAGGTAATGGTAATTAATTACTTTTAATGTTGTAGGTAATGGTAAATAATTACATTTAATGTTGTGGGTAATGGTAATTAATGGCTGTTAATATATTGGGTAATGACAATTAATTACTGTTAATATATTGGGTAATGGTAATTAATAGCAAAGAATGTAATGGGTAATAGCAATTAGTTACATTGTTAAAAATGAGAAATTAATTGTAATGATTACATTGAAAACATAATGGTAATGGTAATGTAATCAATTACATTGGCAATGTAATAGCTCTAACCCTGCTTCATCACGCACTGACATACCAATGGGCGAAATAGAATCTCGATTATATTTCATAAAATAACAACACTTACAACTTGCAATAATCAACGGACAATCTGCTTTATCCATGGGAAATCTGGACAGTTTCAATGGACACCTGGCCCGGACAGTTAATCTACAATGATATCATAAAGATAGGTAAGAACATTCACAAAATAAATTTTATTTATTTGATCAGCAAAACAATTATTATTTAATTCCTCTTACATAGGTATGTAAAAATAAAAAAAATAAAATAAAATAATAATAAAAGAATAATAAAAAAATAAAATAAAATAAAATAAAATAAAATAAAATAATAAAAAAAATAAAATAAAATAAAATAAAATAAAATAAAATAAAATAAAATAAAATAAAATAAAATAAAACCCAGAGAGACGAAGCAATAACCCCAAAACTAGAAATTAAAACCTCCGACTGAATGCCAAAACGAAAATAAAATATAAAAAAAAAGATGAAAAACAATAATATAAAAAGAAACAACAACAACAAAAAAAACATAAACAAAAACACTATAAATGGTAATTACGCGACTAAAAGGTAGAAATAAATCCTCAGCCAAAAAAATGAAAGAGAAAAATGTTATTACAGAAATGATAATTCTAGTTTGTGAAAGTCGCCGTTTCAATCACCATCTGTATAACAAGTCAGTTAAAGAGATTGTACAACACTTAACGAAACAAATTGCCCACAAAATATGATTCCATGGTTTAATATGTCAGACGCGAGAAGAGCCATCATGTCATTACGACCTCCACATAACCAATAATACAAATAAATTCTACATTCCACTAACGTAAAGCAGTTAAGATTTTTGTGAACTAGGGTGTAATGCAGGAGACACGATGCACTTAAACGGTTCCAAGACTGTTAACCAAATTCTTCTTTTAGTCGATAGCCAGAAATAGAAAACTCCAGTCGGCCGTTAATATCCGACTAATCTTCACTGCACCAACCATGTCAGGAGAGAACATCTAATAGTTAACATCGCTAGAGACATTACACAACGCAATAACAACACGCTTCGTTTCGCTTAAAATCTTCATTTGAATTACCAACACTCCAATCACCCTTTCGCCAGTCACGCTCTAAAATAATGTTATCCGGCCCTCAGACGCCCCAATTTCGTTTCGCTGTATGAGTTCCGGATTCCGGATATTACATACAAGCAACCTTGTTTTTTTGGACAATGTTATAAGCGGCTAAATTTGCTTTTGGCCACGAATTGTATTACTGATGCAAATACTGACTCGTTCCTATAAATAGTTTATAGTTTTGTCGAGAAAGCGATTAGCAAGTCAATAATTGAATGGGTCCGAAAACCCCGAACATTATGGACAAAATAGTTTTAAAATAATAGTCTTATCACGAAATGACCCAGTAGACAGCATAATATTATCTAGCATACATTAAAGGTCACCGGAAAAGCTTCATAAATGTTTTAAATAATGCAAGTAATTATGTCAACATATCCTTTCCATAAGTATTACACGATCCCGAATGCCAATATTACCTGCCACTGGTAAATTTCAACAGGTAGATTTCCGCCGTTCTCCGTAATTTTCCGCCAATAAACAAGCCGTGAGTACTTCTGCTCATAGAATAGATTATAGCAGAAGGACTAAAATTAAGTCACGGCTTGTTTATTGGCGGAAAGTTACGAGTTCTCACGGGGAACGGCGGAAATCGCTAACGTTAAAACTTACCTGTGACAGGTAACATTGGCATTCGGGATAGTGTTATATACTTATTAAACTATGTGTCTTATTGTATTCGATATCGAGGCGATTGTTATTGTAGCAATATGGGACGTTTAAAAATCGCAAAAGGGTTATAACAGTATCCCCGAAGTGAAGACGTATAAAAGTAAGCATTTGTGACATTTGTTGAAAACAAACGGCGTGATTATAGTATCCCTTTAACATTTTGTTCTACAACTATACCCGAGGTATCCCGTTGTCACTACGTTCTGTACATATTCTAAAGTCCAGTTAAAGGCATTTAAAGGAGCTAAACCTCATTAATTTATTTGAAAATAGTTGCTGTTTCTATTATGGGACACAAGCAATAGCTAACGATGACTAAGTTTAGTTTTGTTTTGAGTTTAAGCCGTCGACAACAGAAAAAAAAATCAGCGTGCATCTCCACATTAGCTCTATCTGTAGATCTAAACTTTAAAATGTAAACATTTAGCAATTACACACACTCGGAGTAGATCTAAACGCCCGACGCTTTCGTGTCGTTGACCATCAAATTAAGTCAGACATTATGGGCTAACCTGAGAGTGTAATATAATGCCAGATACATTACAATTCTACCAAGATTCATTAACAAATATCAGAGTGTCTGTATCGGAGGAATTGCAAACGTTGGGACACATTTATAATCCAGTGACACATTCCAATAAATATACTTCCTGATATATGTGGAAGAAGCATTGGCGCAGCTAGTTCCTTTCGGTACTAAACCCTCTGACCGTTATTGTCTGTCCTTATTAAGCAATAATGTGAAAATACCACTCTGCCTCACCTCTGTTCTAATATACTATTCAAAAAAAGTAGGGGATATTTGATTTTTAAGTGTTATTAAAGTCACCTAATGAAACTGACGAAGAAACAAATGACAAAATGAAATGAAGTTCACATTCATCGATTTATTCCAAATGATCGTTAGACTAAGTAAGGCACAGACTGACCATTATCAGGGTAAAATGATACCCGGGGTCAAACAGCAAAGTTACCACAGCATCACAACCAAGTCAGTAACGAGTAAATCCTCCTCTGTTTGTCAAACAAGCATTGATCCGACGTGGCATACTCCTAATGAGACGTCTAAGGTCATTTTGGTCCAGATTGTCCCATTCCTGTTGCAACGCAGCAGCAAGTTCTTGGACATTGGCAGGACGTTGTTGACGTTGACGTAACCTCTGTCCAGGCATGTCCCAGACATGCTCGATGGGGGAGAGGTCGGGACTCAGTGCTGGCCAAGGTAATGTGGTGATGTTCTGTTGTTGGAGGTAACCTGTAACGATCCTGGCCCTGTGACATCTTGCGTTGTCATCCTGGAAGATGAAACGGCGGCCATGACGTCGTGCGAACGGCACAACATGGACTGCCAAGATGTTGTCCCGGTAGTACTGGCCTGTAACACGCCCTGCAACAACATGTAAAGCCGTTCTTCCAGCAACAGTGATGCCTCCCCACACCATAACAGAACCACCCCCAAATCGATCATGTCTGATGACGTTAACGTCTTGGAAGCGCTCGTTTCGACGACGCCACACCCTCCTACGTCTGTCCAAAAAATCAACAGTGAACCTTGACTCATCTGAAAACATCACATTGCTCCAGCGTCGATTATCCCAGTGTTGACGATCCCTACACCAACGACGTCTTGCCTGAATGTGATGATCTCTCAAACAAGGGATCACGCGAGGACGTCGGGCGCGAAGGTGACCCCTATGCAGTCGATTCCGAATCGTCTGGCCACTCACTCTCACACCAGTGTCTGTTTGAAGACGAGCGCTGATCTGATTTGCTGTGATGACACGATTTCTCAAGGCCAAGGTACGGATAAATCGATCCTGGGCTTGAGTTGTCGCCCTTGGTCGACCTGAGCGTGGTCTGTCCTGTACAGATTGTGTATCACGGTATCTGGACCATAGCCTGCTTATGACAGACTGAGAAACATTCATCGTCCGCGCCACAACCGCCTGTGTTGTGCCGATCTGTAGCATGCCAAGGGCACGTAACCTTTCATTTTGGGTAAGCCGACGCATATCAAAATTTGTTTTCTGGTCACTAAAACAATTAAACTGATGTTTCCACCCTGGAATTCAATGCCACAATGACTGTAACATTCAAAGTCAGAGTCGTGCAAATCTTGGGTTGGACCCCCATGATGATCCCAAGCATCACCTGCATTCCATGCGGTAGCTATTGGTGCGTTTGGGCGTCACATGTAACTGGAAATGTTTCTTCTGTTAGGTTCTATAGTGACTTTTTTCGTAGTCATTTGCATATTTTAGTATTATGCCCCCAAAATCAAATATCCCCTACTTTTTTTGAATAGTATACTTTCTATTTTTTACTGTAATTCTTCTTTGTTCGCCAAATTGATCCCTTTTGACGAACAAAGAAGAATTACAGCTAAAATCGAAAGGTAAGGATCTCAAAATAGCCTTAGAACGGAGGTGGGGGTAAAGCGGTATGTGTATTATTTTCATATTTTAGTTTATAAAGTTGAGCAGGAACAGTCAGTGGACTTCGTACGCCCAGACACCATTCCGAAAGGAACTTTAAGGCGCATCTGGGCTCTTTTGTTTAGATAACTGATCGCCGCCGTTATTGGCCGAGAAAGCACTACGGGAATTTTTTCCCGATGGGGGGTTTGGCTAGCTCCGTTGGATAGGGCGACAGGCCTATTACCAATACAATAGCAATAATACTTGGAAATTGTCGATTAACTACACAAAACCTCATTTGGCTTCCTACATACTGTGCCTTCAATATCAATTTTCCATTTCCTTTTTTCGATTTTTATATTGCACGCAGAAACAATATATAGCTTTAGATTAAAACATGCAATATTTCAAGTCATCATTATTATCTAAGTTCAATAACAATGACGAAATTCCCTCCATTTCCTGGTGGTAATGCTACTTTTAATTCATCATATCGGCGACATGTCAAAGTCAAATGAAGCTTTAGAGTTATTCAGCATGAAATCAAATCATGGGTAGATTATTTTTTTACTCTCCCGGTTTTTGCTTGTCAAATTTACAATCAAAGATTTCTGATACAACGAGAGAGATATGAGTTTTATTTATGGAAAAGATAAAAACTGCTGATGTAGATAAAATGAGCAATGTTGGATTATATTGATATCTATGTAGAAAATGTATTTTATAAAGGGATGGCTCAGTGAGTCATGGTGCTGGCTCACTAACCATGCAGGCTTCGATTCAGGTGTAGGTTGAAGAAGTTCCTCGCGATTCCCCAGTCTGGTTTGCCCTTATCAGTGGTGCAGGATAGAGTGCCTCGAGGCAAAACCCCATGTCTATCCCCGCACTCTTTTGGCGTGCACGTTAAAGAAGCTTGATATTTGGAATTCGACAAAGAGTAGGTCGTAACGCCGTTGTCCGTGCAAGGCACACTGAATGGCGTATGCCTATCTTTTTCAGCCCGCTTTATGTCGAAACGTAGGGCATAAATCCTATGGCATCTCAAGGAAACTTCGAAGAATCGTTTATAGACCTTTCAACAAAATATAACAGGATAAACTGCAGATATAGACTTACAAATTATACAAAAATCAAATAGTCTCACCAGAAAACACATTGTTTCAAAACGTACTTTTAAAAGATGGCCATCGCTTTTTGATTTCGAACTTCTTTTAATTGTATGTCTAGATCTTAAGGGTAACCATGAATATCGAGATCCATGTTTTATTGTGTTTAGAAAATCTATGTTTTATTATATTAATCAGGCGAAAGCTCCTCGATATTTTCCAGTGTGGTTCCCGCTTGTCAGTGGTGCTGGACAAGAGCGAGGGAGCGGGGGCCGACAAGCACAGTGCCTAGTCGTTGGGATTGGACGAAAAACTGAGGTCCCGTGTGCACAGAAAAGAACCCCCGACAGTGGGAAATCAATTGTCCTCACGGCCAAATTTCACTCATAGCACACTGCATTGCGTATGTCCGTCTTCATTATTCCGGTTGGTGCGGAAAAGTTGGGCGTTTAACCTATTGCATTATTGTATAAATCGTCTAAATTAGTATTTAGAAAACATTTCAACCCTTACATGAGTTGGGTAAGGAAAGTGTTATTAACTATCCGTCGAACTGCGTCTTTATAATGGCACATATTTATCGTTTGGTCGTTGGCAAGTAGAACGCTCAAAGTCTTATAAGTCTATCCAGTTGGACTGCGACATTGACGGATCACTTGAGATATACATGCTACATAGATTCAGACTAAATTTCCCCTGCCGTCGTTCTTCAATAATTACATATAAATAAATGATAATGTTTAACAAACCTTCTAGACATGTACAGTCTCCCGTCATGACGAATTCTAACAAAAGCATTGGGAACTGTTATATTGTGAGCCTTGCTATTTTTACCATTTACAAAATACGTATCGGGCTTCCATATGGACTTCAAAACTTTGTTACTCAGAGTGAACTCCGTGAAATTGTCAATCTGAAAAGTGAGTCGATCGTCGTACCATCTTTGTCGAAGGTAAATTTGCATGGAGTACGCCTGAAACAGAGAATACGTTTATCAGTCTCAAATTAATAGAATCACGGACTGTTTAATAAAGTCTCACCGACAAGTTGTGATAAAGATACATTATGTAAATTAGAAAAAGAGCTGGCCGTTCTTGTTATAATAGTTCAATAATAAATAATGAAATCGAATATATTATAAATTACAGTCAAATTACATTATTATGTGTGAGGTTCTGGGTTTTGAATATTTGAAGTTTTGACAAAATGTAGTGTAGATTGTTTATTATCGGAGCAGCGATACTTGACAATCGAGACTAAGTCTCGCCTATCAATCTTAACGTTAAACTTTTAAATGACGGCGGTGCTCTAATCTACTTTAAATCGGAGCCATCCGATAGCCCGGAGAATTGATTATAGGCTTGTCAGTCATGTGATTAAATATCTAATTAACATATTAAATAACATTTGAAGCCAGAAAGAAGACCTGCAATAGGCAGATGCAGTTCTTACACAATGTACTTTTAATTATTTGTATGGATGGTGACATAGCTCCGTTGGTAGAGCGTTGGGCTGCTGTAACCTACGCGATTTTATATCTTTATATAACGTAATTGATCGGAATCATGTATTATAAGACAAACTCAAACATGACTTAATCCAAATTGATTATTCAACATTTAATTAAGAAACAAAATCAAAATATCTACGATATATAATCCCCCGGTTTGGTAGAGGCCCATAATATTTGATAATCCGACACAATTCTATGGAGTACAATTACTGCTTATTACTGCTTATCTCTGGTTGGTCAGCATTAACCAAGTATTGTTGTATATATTGTCTTGTTATATTTTCATATTTTATCATTACTTGATAATGACTAGAGAAGCCTGGTCGAAACGTCCTCAGTAATAAGCAGTAATTGTATTCAATAGAATTGTGATCTGTTTATTCCAGTTCAATTATTAAATGCCACTGAAACCATTTATCAGACATGTACACTGTAGTTAGCACTGGGTTGTTTATTTCGTTTGCAGTGGTTGCCGACTGTTGACAAATTTGCAATTCATCGCCTCTGTCTAAAGACTGAACAGAATTCAACCCTTCTTGAACTGATATTCCTTGTATAAAAATTCAACATTCACAATATTGTAACTTGCAATGCGATTCAAAATTCGCCAAATCAAAAGAAATGGGGTTTAACTTCCTACTGTTCTTCTCCGACTTTATACGGACAAACTTGAGGTATTGTTGTTGCGACTGACAATAGTGAATATGTGATTAGGAAAGGCCAGTGCGATGCTATTGTACCCTGTTCCAATATTCCATTATAGTCTTATCGACATATCATAAAATACCCCATTTATTCACGAATACCGTCGAGTTCGTGATAGATATGATTAAATATAATATACATGTATTGTAAGAATTCAAATTACTCTCACATCAAAATATAGTGATCTAAAACTGAAAGCATGTCAAAACCAGTTAATTCTCATAGCAATTTACAGATGTCAGATTCTCAAAAATCGCAAATGATTTCCGTCGTTAACACGCTGCACAGACGAATATATCATTACTTTACTTTATTATGGGGCCATAAAGGAAGACAAGTGCAAGGCAGATAAAAAATAATTGTTTTATTGTCAGATCTTAATGGCGTACTCATCCCCACAATATCGTCACCTCAACAACCAAATGAATACATGCATTGTATTATTTCAATATGGACACATCCTGTTGCTGATTGGTCAAATCCCACGTGGTACGAATCATCGTAAAGTGAGATTGGTTTTGTAATTGCATACTGTGATATAAAGTCGCTAGCAATTATACAAATAATAAACGGATCTACACTAGGAGCATCAACAACTAATTATATAAGAGTATACAATGAAAGTGACGATAATATCAAGCGATATGTGGTAATAGCCGTCAGTATATGATATAGAGTAGCACTAATTGCCTTAGTATTCTATCGCGTGTTGTCACGTCAAATACGACAACCCTCTATAAAAGTTTCCTTCGTCATATTTTTTTTTATTACTTAATGTAGCGAGTCGCTTCATTCTGGCGGTAATATGGTATAATAAATAATTATACTGCATGGAGTTGCAGAACATTCGATTGATTACTAAGTTCGATTTGAAAATAACCGGATGATACATTACGCCTGTCGCAACACATTCAAGCGATTTATAACATTTTATGATTAAATCGCGTGAAGGGAAATTTTTTGTTCTCAAATAACAAAATAGTCTGTCAAAATCCATGATTATCTTGTGATCGATCTTTGCAATAGGTACGAACCTCTGATACCAAATCTCAACAATAGGTACGAATATCTGATACCAGATCATGACAAATATCTAATACCAGATCACGACAATAGGTACGAACCTCTGATACCAGATCACGAACAACTGATACCAAATCATGTGATCGATCTCTACAATATGATATGTCTCTACGATAAGTACGAACCTCTGACATCAGTTCATGCGATCCCGACAATAAGACGAACATCTGATCAGATGATCGATCTCTACAATATGATTGGTCTCTACGATAAGCACGAACCTCTGATATCAGAGCATGCGATCTCTACAATATGTACAAACCGCCGATGCCAAATCACGTGATTTCTACAATATATACGAACCTCTGATACCAGATCATGTAATGTCTACAATATATACGAACCTCTGATACCAGATCATGTAATGACTACAATATGTACGAACCTCTGATACCGGATCATGTGAACACTATAATATGTATGAACCTTTGGTACCACGGGCAGTGATCTAGTCATTTCGAATCCACGCGTACAATGAAGCATACTATATTATATTACGTTTGGGAGTCACGGTGGTTCAGTTAGTTGGGTTCTGGTTCGGTAACGTCTATATTGACATATAACACAAACCAGTAATATATAAAACATATATACCGGGGTACACACATACATATATAATGTTTTACGTTATACATAATGTTTTATGTTATATGTCAATATACAATACATATTTAATAACACGATGCGCGATTAACCAGCACTAAAATGGATACAGGGGTAGAAAGAACGGCTATTTGATTTGTCATGTTTGGTGACTGGATGTAAACACATCGATATGTTACAGTGTCTATAATGGTACCTCGTATCTCCTACAGACAAATGTGATTAACCCAGAAAGTAGGACGGATTATTTTCCATTAAGATCTATGACTGGACAAACTCTACAAAACGACAATTATTTCCGGCGAAATCATTGAACCATCAACGGGTGAAAACCGTTTGCTAAAATGTCTTATATCATTTGTTTCATTTAAACGAGAGGAATGGAGCTGACCGTGTCGTCTAACATACGGTTATTTTAACGTCCGACGGTTAACATTTCGTTTCCGTGCTCCACTACGTGTACAGGGATTGACTCCCATTGTACGTCCCATCCGAACGACTACAACTACACTTATCTCAGCAGCTAACCATGACAAGCCGAAAATGAAATGGGCTAATGAAGACGGACCGCTGTTCGGGCAAAATGTCCCTTACAGGACACTAAATGGTGTATGTCCGTCCCTATTTGCCCATTCGGCGCAGAACAGTAGAACGTTAAACCCCCATTTCATTTCATTTCGTTGTGCAGCTTAACAAACGCTTTATATAATTACACCATTGCTTGAATTCTTGATGAATATGTGCGTCTAAGGATATTATGAATTACATTTATTGTCTAGCTGAGGGTGATAATATTTTTTCCATGATAAGGTTGTATTTTATTTATAGGTAAAATCAGTTTTATGTACATCCCCTATGGATCACATACAGATAGGTGATAGACGTTTGATTCTTTGAAACCTTCTGGGAAGTACGTCGAATAACAGATTATGTCTTAAGTCCATGACAAATATAAATATTTCACTTACCATGTCACTTTCACTGATAGGACCCATACTTCTTATAGCAAAGTCTGTAGAAATTCTCAAAGGATCGGCTAAAGTAGAAATTGGCATGCAAAAAGTCAGTATGACAAATTTATATAAAAACAATTTTGTAGTTAATATTTTAATATTACGGCCATGTCCAAGGGGAGAGAGTCTAATGGTCTTACGCGTGCGCTTGAAATCATAAGGTATGTCATTGCGTCCGGTGTCATTGAAGACCAACATGCGCAATCGAATTATTGAATTAAAACTGAATCACCCGAAATTCTCAAAGGATCGGCTAAAGTAGAAATTGGCATGCAAAAAGTCAGTATGACAAATTTATATAAAAAAAATTTTTGTAGTTAATATTTTAATATTACGGCCATGTCCAAGGGGAGAGAGTCTAATGGTCTTACGCGTGCGCTTGAAATCATAAGGTATGTCATTGCGTCCGGTGTCATTGAAGACCAACATGCGCAATCGAATTATTGAATTAAAACTGAATCACCCGAAACGACATAGGTGTGTGGAGTTTACGTTAAATATTCTCTCCCTCTCTCTATCTCTATCTCTCTCTCTCATATATCAAGGATGATTTGTACACCACACCTCGAGAATTTCACGAGATAAAAATTGGAAACCCGACAGCTTATATAAGCTTAAGAGACTTGATATTATTAGGATTTTTAGCAATACTAAATTACACGCATTGATTTCTAGATTTACGGAATAAGTACAGCAAATAGTAATCGTTACGTTTATAGCCAGACTAGCCCTTGGCAAACTGACTATAAATTGAGCAAAACCGCCTGTAAAACTTCAGATGGGAAGAAATCGAGATACATCCGTGCACTCGTTGTTATACATGTAAAATAACCCTGTAATTTGTCATTTGACGCAGGGAACCATGATGACTAAGTGAATAAGACGCTGGCTCGCTAGCCTTGACATCGCGGGTTCGATCCTGGTGTTGGCCGAGACAGTTCATCGGGATTTCCAGGCGTGGTTTCTTCTTGTCAGTGGTGCAGGACGGAGGGCTTGTTGTTCGGATGGGACGAAAATCCGAGTCCCGTGTGCACATTGCCGTGCACGTAAACGATCCTTTGGCGATTGGAATTCGATATAAAAGAAGGGCGTAGCGCCGCTGTCCGACCAAACTTCCCCCCATGACACACTGTATGGCATATACCCGTCTTCATTAGCCCAGTCGGAGCAGACCAGTAGGACGTTAAACCCCATTTCATCTCATTTCATTTGACGCAGGATAGGTGAAATTGCAGCTGCCCGTTTTCATTATCCCAGTTGATGCAGAAAAGTAGGACGATAAACCATACTATATCTTCCCATTTACTTTGCCAATTATTCTCGAACTAGCCGTGTCTATGGATACATTGATGACAGATCAGTAAGAGTTGAATATATATATTTAATGTGTTTCAGACATAATTACCTCCTCCACCAGGTCTCACATGCTTGTTATAGTTAAGTAATAGCTGGTCCAATAGGTGGCTGACTTGTTCTCTCTTAAGATTCTCCTTTCCATCGATAAATCTGAAATAAAAAAAAAAAAATCTATTATCTATAGCCTCATTTAAAGTCTAGAATCATTTTCTATATCTCAAGGGATAATAACATGTGGGCTATTCGATGCTGCCCGGAGCTCAAAGTTCGTGGATAGAAATGAAATATCGTTAAGGCATTGGCTAAAAGTCTTAGTGAAAATAAGATGGCGGCACAAAATTCGTAAAAAAAGGCAATTTTGGCATGCGATAACGTGCGTTAGGTTTGATCGATATGAATAACTTTTAGATCAAAATTCTGTATAGCCGTTTAGCGTGAACGGCCTTTGGAGTGTATAGCCTTTTAGTTTGAATGATCTTTTAGTATGCATGACCCTTTAGTGTGAACGGGTTTTTAATGTGCATGTCCTTTGGTGTGTATGACCTTTAATATTTATGAAATGTTGATGTGTTTTAATATGAATGACCTTTTATTGTGAATGACCTTTTAGTAGGTATGGATTGTTGGTGAGTTTCAGTGTGTTTGATATTTAGGCGTGTATAGCCTTTTATAGTGTGAATGACCTAGTGTGAAGGACCTTTTAGAGTGTGTGATCTTTTTGTGTGAATGACCTTTTAGTATGTATGACCTGCTGAAATGTTTCAGTGTGTTTGATATTTAGGTGTGTTGAGACCCTTAATTTTGAATGATATTTTAGTGTGTTTATGGCCTATAATGAGGATGGCCTTTTAGTATGTATGACCTGTTGGTGTGTATCAGTGTGTTTGATATGTAGGTGTTTTGAGAATCTTTAGTTTGAATGACAATTAAGTGTGCTTATGACATTTAATGAGAATGTTTTTTTATAAGTGTATGAGTATGGCGTTTTAGTATGTATGGCTAAACGGCTGTAACTTCCTGGTAGTTGAAAGGTTCCGAATCTCTCTCGCCCTGTTTACCGACGGAAGTTTTTCAAAGGTAAAGTTACCCCCAACCCTGTCAGAGTTTATATTTCTTACAAAATAAATTACTTGACAAAAGGAAAACTTTTAAAAATTAGGGAAGAAGCTTTAACCGAGGCAGGGTCAGTAGGTGACTAAGTCAAGTGGAGTATTCATTGTGGAAGGTACTATAGTGTCTGGTATTTAGATACAGTGCCGGATTTAGAGAGAAGCCCTAGGCTAATTCCACTCATTAAGCCCCCCCCCCCCAATCTCCACCCTGACGAATATAGGAGGAAAAAATTTGTTTTAAACACATTTGAGCTAAGCCGAGTATAATGATGAATGTTAAAGGCTTATGACCTTGCGGAGACAATCACGAACTTCGCCGTTAGAGATAAATCTTACTAAAAAATGTAAACACACAAGCAAACTGTTGACATTTATGGCTCTCTAAATACAAATAATGTGTTTTAATCCAATTAGTGACAATGTAAATCTCTGTAAAATGTACTTAGATGGTTTTAATAGGCATTCTTCTGTCACAACGTAAAGATTTAAGGATGGTTTAAAGTTTAAAGAGACCGGTCATTTATTGCCATTGAAGAATATAGCCATTTTGAGGAAAGGATACACGAGAGGTTTCCTAATTAATATGCGATCTACATGGAAATTGTTATACTTATTTTTCAACATAATCGCCTTTGACATTAATACACTAATTTTTCCAACGTTTCTCCAGCATATCTAAGCCGTCAGAAAACCGTTGACCCTACAACCCCCCCACCCCCGCCACCCCATCAGCAGGGATGACCTGGCCATCAGTCCTAAATCAGGACACCTCTCGTAAGTAATTCAATACCACAGCATAATCAACATTCACAGAATTTGATCTATTTAGCGTTACAAATTTCATAAAACGCAGGCACACTAAGTGCTTTAGGTGCATTAAGTATGTCTATTCCCCCAGTAGTTTGTATTGAGCTTAGCAGAACATATGTATTAATAGGGTACTAAAGATCGTAAGCATTAATTTGCTTATCAGGGGTTCCCCAAAAGTTTTCGGTCTCTTGGGCGACAGATTTGGGGCGGATGATGAGGTCATCATTGCTGTGGAGGGGTTTGTAGGGTCATGTGACAAATAGTGGTTTTCTGGCCGGTACAATATGCTGGAGAAACGTCGGAGCAAGTTCACTGATGTCACGAGGGATTATGTTGAAAATATGGGGAGTTAAAAATTTATCTCTTATATACTATTCAAAAAAAGTAGGGGATATTTGATTTTGGGGGCATAATACTAAAATATGCAAATGACTACGAAAAAAGTCACTATAGAACCTAACAGAAGAAACATTTCCAGTTACATGTGACGCCCAAACGTACCAATAGCTACCGCATGGAATGCAGGTGATGCTTGGGATCATCATGGGGGTCCAACCCAAGATTTGCACGACTCTGACTTTGAATGTTACAGTCATTGTGGCATTGAATTCCAGGGTGGAAACATCAGTTTAATTGTTTTAGTGACCAGAAAACAAATTTTGATATGCGTCGGCTTACCCAAAATGAAAGGTTACGTGCCCTTGGCATGCTACAGATCGGCACAACACAGGCGGTTGTGGCGCGGACGATGAATGTTTCTCAGTCTGTCATAAGCAGGCTATGGTCCAGATACCGTGATACACAATTTGTACAGGACAGACCACGCTCAGGTCGACCAAGGGCGACAACTCAAGCCCAGGATCGATTTATCCGTACCTTGGCCTTGAGAAATCGTGTCATCACAGCAAATCAGATCAGCGCTCGTCTTCAAACAGACACTGGTGTGAGAGTGAGTGGCCAGACGATTCGGAATCGACTGCATAGGGGTCACCTTCGCGCCCGACGTCCTCGCGTGATCCCTTGTTTGAGAGATCATCACATTCAGGCAAGACGTCGTTGGTGTAGGGATCGTCAACACTGGGATAATCGACGCTGGAGCAATGTGATGTTTTCAGATGAGTCAAGGTTCACTGTTGATTTTTTGGACAGACGTAGGAGGGTGTGGCGTCGTCGAAACGAGCGCTTCCAAGACGTTAACGTCATCAGACATGATCGATTTGGGGGTGGTTCTGTTATGGTGTGGGGAGGCATCACTGTTGCTGGAAGAACGGCTTTACATGTTGTTACAGGGCGTGTTACAGGCCAGTACTACCGGGACAACATCTTGGCAGTCCATGTTGTGCCGTTCGCACGACGTCATGGCCGCCGTTTCATCTTCCAGGATGACAACGCAAGATGTCACAGGGCCAGGATCGTTACAGGTTACCTCCAACAACAGAACATCACCACATTACCTTGGCCAGCACTGAGTCCCGACCTCTCCCCCATCGAGCATTTCTGGGACATGCTTGGACAGAGGTTACGTCAACGTCAACAACGTCCTGCCAATGTCCAAGAACTTGCTGCTGCGTTGCAACAGGAATGGGACAATGTGGACCAAAATGACCTTAGACGTCTCATTAGGAGTATGCCACGTCGGATCAATGCTTGTTTGGCAAACAGAGGAGGATTTACCCGTTACTGACTTGGTTGTGATGCTGTGGTAACTTTGCTGTTTGACCCCGGGTATCATTTTACCCTTATAATGGTCAGTCTGTGCCTTACTTAGTCTAACGATCATTTGGAATAAATCGATGAATGTGAACTTCATTTCATTTTGTCATTTGTTTCTTCGTCAGTTTCATTAGGTGACTTTAATAACACTTAAAAATCAAATATCCCCTACTTTTTTTGAATAGTATATTATTGGTAAAATCAAGAAGCAGCAAACTAGGAACAAAAGTCAAATAAAACATGGCGACATCATCACAGTGTCCGTTTAAAGGGCCAATCTCGATTATATTTTGGAGAATAAAACTGCTTAATTTTGTGTTAAAAGCGCTGAAAATCATCTACCTTAGCACCGAGCAGCTAACTCAATATACGTGATACGTTTTGAAACAACTTCATCTGGAAATGAAGACTGGTGTCCCAAGCTGTAATATACGGTGTCTAATAAAACCAGATTTATTTCACAAAAATAACGAGTAGGTGAAATTTACCTTTCGTTATCAAGTACAGCATGTGGGCCATGCACTGTATAGACCTCTAAAGGAACGACAAGAGATTATCAGGTCACCCAACGAAAAAAATGACCAGAAATCTTATAAAGGATTACGTGTCCGGATAAACGACTCAATATTTTGAGCCAAAGTTTTGAGACAAGGTAAATACACCATTCCTCTACATTGTGTCGCTTAAATGGCATACGTACATGAACTTTTTATTTCCGAGACTCTGTTAAAATCGGGATGGTTTCTTTAATACCACCTTTTGCTGGCCGTGTCTTGGGGGGGGGGGGGTGTTGTTCGGTGATGAGGTGACTAGTTCAAGTTTTTTCTCACCATCTTGTATTCCTTTGTAAAGTGCTGTTTCTATTACTTTTCTCTTCTGTTTGGTTGGGGAGTTGGGACTGCACTGTGTATTACAAATCCGCCGTGGTACCTTTTGTAAACAGGTCCAAACGGTAACAATAAACGGCGAAGAATTATCAACAAATTCTGTATTCGCATCCCTTTAAGGAGATCCATATAAATTGTTCTATGAAAGCTGATTCGTAAAATACAACCTTAATTTGTTGGTCTATAACGACAGGATTATTAAACTGTTTGTTTTTATCACTCTATAGATTTGTTTCGCAGGCTTTAAATCAGAATACGAAATCTTCATAAATCCAGGAATAGATTGGAGTTGAACTGTCTTGATTAAATCGCCGGGCCATTAGAATCAATAAAGCAGAATAATATATTGACCCTTTTCACGCTGAATATTTCACGCTCATTTTGCGTATTACCTAATAACCCATGACGTCAGAGCTAAATCACGCTATACAACTCGATCCCGCGACAAGTTTCGGATAATTGTCTGCAATAATTTCCCGCCATTTAACACTATTTTATCAAGCTGTGAACTCACACAACGTGCGATAAAAAACAAATCATGGAAGAGTTTATTAGATCTGGAGTCGAGAGGCTAGGGTCGTGTGGTGAATGTAAATGAAGTGTCTTTAGATTAGCGGGTGATAGATGA